GATTTGAACCGCTGAACTGCTGATCTAGCAGTAGCCTGCAGTGCTGCATTTAACCACTGCGCCACCTCGGCTCTGCGCCTTTGGCATTTAGTCATGCCGGTCACATGATCACGGAGGCAACATTGGACAGCGCTGGCTCTTCGGCTTTGAAATGGAGATGTGCACTGCCCCCTAGAGTCAGGAACAACTAGCACATATGTGTATGGGGAACCTTTAGAATTCACAGTTGCCTGGTTTTTAGACAGTTTCCTGGTCTTTGCCTTAACCACGATAACAAATAATATAATTTAAAATATAATGCTCAAAATGATTATGATATTCTTCCATTGAAATTCCCATTGATGCATTTATTCTGCATCTATTTAATCATGCACTCATTGACTTGTTCGGATTCTTCATTTGAAGTTTATAAATCTTACCTAACAAATGATCTTTATTGCATGTTAAAGGGTTTTCAAATTTGGTCAAATGTCTCAGTACAGTATTCCTTTGTTTTTTGTAATCTTTTATTGCTGCAATGGTTATCTCAAGATTCTGAAACCAATTAAATCTAAAAGAGCACTATGTAGTAAGGGTCCCAAGAGATGTTATCTTTGTCCTGTTATTAATAACATCTTGCAATCAAATAACATTATCTTTCACTGATCAAATTTCCTTGTTCTTTCATGTTCATAAATGAGCTCAGATTGAGCAGGCAAAGATTAAGAACGTTCATTCCCAGCAGAACTCTCATTCAAATTCTCATCCCACAGATATATAGTTTCAATGTAAAATATCTTGGAGTAAACAAAATAGTGAGTTAAAAAATAAAAGCTTACCAGTGCCAAAAGGCACACTTTTCCCCCCCAAAAGAGGGTGAAAATTTGAGTGCGTCTTATACATCGAATGTTGCCCCACCCACTCCCACCAGAGGCCAACGCTTAGTGATAGTGATAGGTTACTAATAAGTTATCAAATCATGCTAGGAAACAAAAACAATATAAATTTTAAAGATACAAGCAACATGGTTATAGTCATAAGTGGGAAGAGANCCCCCCCCCCCCGGAACACTCTACAAGCTGGCTAAGAGCTATTTTGGGGGGGGAAAACGGGAGGTTTTCGGGAGGTTTGCAGAGTGCAAAGACTTTTTAAAAAAAATTTGCCTCTTCAAAAACTTGGTGTGTCTTATACTCCAGTGCATCTTATACTTTGTTTGTCTGTAAGCCGCCCAGAGTCTCCTGGGAGTGGGCGGCATACAAATACCAATAAACTGAAACTGAAACTGAAATTCCGAAAAATTTGGTAACCTTGGGATTGTTGTTTTTAACAAAAGATCTGCAGCTAAAGGGTATCTTTAATTTTAAAAGATCCACTTTATTAATAGTTTGACATGTGCTCTTTGTCATTTATAGATCCAGCAACAGATAGACAAGACTTTGGATGAGATGTCTGCCAAATTGACCTTTTTGCAAGACAAGAAAAATTATCTCAGGACCCTGCCAGCAATAGGTCTCAGCAAGCCAGAATTATTGAAGAAGATGAAGGAATACAGCACTATGGGTATGACTTTGAGGATCTACTGGGATGTGAAGAAAAAATCTGTTCCTTAGCCAATTCTAAGACTATAGATCTGAATATGAGGAAAGATATGGTCTTTGCTATCTAATAACTGATATAGAGGTCTTTAAAGAGGTAAAAAAAAATTAAGATCTGATTTGCTTCCATTGTGCCACTGACTACCATCTCTGATTCTCCCAACTTATAGGAAATCTCCTTGGTTGGATAAACCTTTAGTTGTGTCTGATACCTTCTTTTAAAATGATCTATCATTGTTTTAAGGGCTCCAGAATGTAAAAATGGATTCCCTTTCCTTGCCTTTCCCCAATGCCACTTGCAAAAATTAACCCTATTAGTTGCATGCTGAAGATGTACGTAGCTGTTAGGTGTGTCTTGCAGAAATTTGCTCCCAAAGTTATGAATTCCATCTTCCAGCTCTAAACACGGCTGGGCATTCTGTGCTTAACTCCACCACCACAATTGAACCCAAGATTTCTGTTGTTAAGTGAGACATATGTTAAGTGAGCTTTTCCCCATTTTACTACATTACTTAACCACTATCGTTAAGTGAATTCGGCTTCCCCATTGACTTCGCTTGCCAGAAGGTTGCAAAGGGGGATCATATGACTGCAGAACACTGTGACTGCTGTAAGTATGACCCAGTTGCCAAGCATCTGAATTTTGATCACCTGACCATTGGGGATGCTGTCAAGGTCGTAACTGTGAAAAACGGTCAAAAGTCACTTTTTCAGTGCTGTTGTAACTTTGAACAGTCACTAAATGAATTGTTGTAATTCGACTACCTGTAATTAGTTAACTAACTAACTAACTAATCTAATTAATTAGAATATATGGTGTCAACTCGTAAAAGCATTTCTAGTCTGCTCTCGAGTTGCCATGGGCAGAAAAAGGGGAGCACATTCCATACATATCTTCTTCCAGGGTCGGATCTCAGTTTACCAAAGCCAGCTTGTGAGGTGTGGACTTCTACAGCCCATGGGAGTGCCTCGTTGGAGAATGTGATTTATGACACAGACTGTGAGGAGGGGAGAAACAGGGTCAAAGTTTAGCCATAAACTACATGTGACAGAGTTGAGCTCACTCGACCTAATAAATAACTGGTTTCCTTTTGAAACTTGGCTCGAGACTCATGAATTAATTAGGACATCTGTCGGAACCTTGACATATGGAAGACCAGCCTAATGTTTCAACCAGTAATTGGCAACGCTTTCCGAAATACATATGTGTTAAATTGGTTCATCTAGGATTAAGCTGCTTCATTTGCAAATATAGGAAGCATCAGCATGACAAACTGACTGGCAGTGACAAACTAAGATAATGTGAACCAGAAACAAAGTATGGCTTTGGTTTCCAAAAGAGCTTTCATGTAATGAGTCAACATTCCCCCCCCCCCTTTGTATTCTTAGGTAACGTAAATTGGAAAGACTGCAAAGTATCTGGCACAGTGTACAGTGGGGATGAGAAACTCGTTAATCTGCTTGTTAAGGTAATATAGCATGAAACTCTTAGAGAATTGCCTTTTGTAATGTGTGTGTATAATTAAAAACTGTACCAGTGCATTCCAGATGAGATTGGTTGATTGCAATTACCGTGTTTCCCTGAAAATAAGACAGGGTCTTATTTTCTTTTGACCCCCTAAATAAGCGCTTGGCCTTATTTTCGGGGAGGTCTTATTTTTGAGGTGCAGGAGGTGGCGAGCGTGGTCATCTCATGGCTGCTGCTGTGTTGCAATTTGGGGGGGCTTATTTTCGGAGGAGGGCTTATTTTAGCATATGCACACTTATTATCCGGAGAGGTCTTATTTTCAGGAAACAGGGTATATTCCATTGCAATCCAATAACTCTCAATGGCTTTTTTGGTACCTAAAGTAGAAAAATAGTAACACTTCCACGGTATGGCTAAAAATGCTGACAAAATAACAGTCATAAAACTCCAAGCCAGGAGGTACAAAATAACTGAAAGGAAACACCAGAAAAGTAAAAGAAAATAGAAATCATAGTGTAGTTTCTAGTGTTAGTTCCTTTCTAAGATTTGTTCAAAGACTTAGTTTATTTTCATTAAAGGCAACAATAGATGTAAATACAGCAATAGTGCTGAATATTTAAATACTTTATATATTTAGTGACATGGGTATAAACTGTATTCTCTTATTTGAAGTAGGGTTAGGATACCAAAAAAACCCCACATTCCCTTATCCTGAAAAGCCGTATGATAACAAGAAAGGGACCTTCATATATTTTTGTGCCATTTACATTTTTTAAATTAATCTTTCATATCCTCAGGTTGCTTAAAATAATGATCCTTGCATAAAATCGAGGGTTAGGGATGATGAACTGCAGCCCTCCAGATGCTGTTGGACTCCATCAACCCTATCAGATGAGTGTTATTGTCTAACAATCATTCAAGGACTGCAGTTTTCCCTCATCCTAAAATGCTTAAGTAATAATGTATTACATAACGTGTTGGCTCAGTGGCTAAGACGCTGAGCCTGTCGATCAGAAAGGTCGGCGGTTCAAATCCCTAGCACCACGTAACGGAGTGAGCTCCCGTTACTTGTCCCAGCTTCTGCCAATCTAGTAGTTCAAAAGCATGTAAAAATGCAAGTAGAAAAATAGGAACAAACTTTGGTGGGAAGGTNAGTTTGTATTGATATTTTTTCCAGACCCGCAGTAGAGCATTCCTTAAAATATGACTTTTAAAATTCTTATCTACCTTTTTGTCATATAGCAGGTAAGCATGCCAACCATATACCAAATCATGCCCTTCGATATTAAGTATTCTGTCATCTGTTAAATTAATCCAGTCACTGATTACCGATAAAACTATTGCTTCATAATATAGTTTTAAATTTGGTAATTTCAAACCTCCTAGAACTAGTTTTGTTTTTAAGTAACACATTCCCTTGCTCTTTTTTTGGCTTGACCTCAAAAAGACAGAAACAAGAACAAATTATTATAACCAAGAGTTTAAAAGGAGCCAATTAGAAGGCATAGATTATGAGGCTGATTCGCCTGAAACTATCATTACAGCGATTTAAGGTTGGAAAGTACCCTGAGCTATAGAGAAGTGAAAGCAATCCTGTCTTCTTGCAGTAATGCCATGCAAGAAGAGGGAAGTGAGCAGTTCACAAACCTTAAGCAGATACTAAATCTTTTTCCATTTTTTTCCCATCAACGTGAATCTGGCTCTTAAAATTGCATTAGTTTAAAAGTAATTTCAGATGGGCAAAGTTTCTTTGAGGCAGTTACTATAAATCTATAAAGAACTGCCCTGTGTGCCTTTCAATAGGAGATCATTTTGCTATAAAGTATTGCGGGCTGCTTTGGAAACATTTTTGATTTTCAAAGTTGGTTTCTAATTCTCTGAAGACTATTCTCTTGAGAATCTCAATGCAGTGAACTACCGTGTTTCCTCGAAAATAAGACCGGGTCTTATATTATTTTTTGCTCCAAAAGATGCACTAGAGCTTATTTTCTGGTTAGGTCTTATTTTGGGAGAAATATGGTACTAATTGCGTCCATCTGGCTGATGATCTTAGAGTAAAGGTAAGGTTCCCATAGCACATATGCACTAGTCATTCCCCACTCTAGGGGGTTAGCCAAAGAGTCAGCACTCTCCAAAGACTTCTCCTTGGTCATATGGCCAGCATGACTAAATGTCGAAGGTGCACGGAATGCTGTTAATGCTGATGATCTTAACTGGGGCTTATTTTGAGGGTAGGGCTTATATTACGAGCATCCTAAAATCATGCTAGGGTTTATTTTCCGATTGGGTCTTATTTTCAGGAAAACAGAGGAGTTATGAAGTTCTTTGGATCCAATGTCTTTTCTGGGAAAAATAAAAAATAAAATGAAGAATAGCAAAAAAAAACCAAAACAAAAACAGTAAGAAAAAGAAAATGACTTCGCCCTTCACTATAACAATTTAAACAATTTTAGAAACTGATTGCCTTCTCTTAAATAATCTCCCCCCCCCCCCTCCATATCTCATCTGTCAAGGATCCAAATAATACATCCCCTTCAATGAGAACTCAGAGGCAGCCATATTCCACAAAGAACATTTTTTGGGGACATATCAAATTGGCACAGACTTGGTGGAAAACTGGCTCTAGGTTACCACCAGTTTTACACCCAATTAAAAGTAAAACTTTGTCTCCCCCCCCCCGCCCCCCCGGCTCCAATCGCATAGTCCTATCAGCATGTAGTCAGGTTTCTCAGTGACCTCAGTCTCCACCTTTCAAACACCTGCCTGAACATCCTTGATTCCCACTGGAAAGAACTTTATTTGGGCTATAACACCCCAGCTATCTCTACACCCCCCTCCCTGGCCCCTTAGCTCCAGGCTGTGTCAGCCCTGAAGCAATGGGAAGAGAAATCTCCTTAGAGAAAAGCTACCAAAAGAAAATAGTCAGAGTTAGGCCAGCTTCGGGGTTGACACCATCTCTTATTTATAAACAAAGTCTTAATATGCTGGTTTCTCTTCAGATCGTATAATAAAACAAAGTCTCAAGGCCTCATTGTTTCAATCCTGATCAGCAAAAGTCCATTAAGGGTTACCTCGATCAAATAAACCAGCTTTATATTCCTTGCTTTTACTTTTAACAATCTTGATCTGATTTCAAATTTCTCTAGCATATTGTGGCTAGTAGCTAGTTCTCAACCTCTTGTCAGTTTCAATTTACATTCTAGAAGGAAGATCATTTGTGGAATGCACTTATTTTTTTGTTATTTTATATTTTATATGATTTACTGACACAGGATAATTTCTTTTTATGCCAAAATGGAAAAGCAATGTCATGAAAATACAATAATATTTCTGGCCACACCATCTGCTACCTATCTTAAGATTTACAAGCTACTGTATCTACAATTTTTGGTCCTCAACACATGTCTCAAAGTGAGGCCAACTGTTTGAGTGGTTCTGTTTGTTTTTATTCCTGTCCCTGTTTTTCAATTTGCTACAACAATAATAATCATTATAGGTGGGCAAATATTACAAGCCACAGTCCGAAGCTTTCTCTGGATTCACCCAAACATTTTAGCTTTGTCCAGGAGTTCTGTTTGTTATCTCACTTTGGTGTCTTCCTTAACGTTGGTAAACCTAATAAACGTAGTTTACAATTAGCAAACTCTTGGAGATTCCCTACCAGACTTATTTTTGTCCAGAAAAGAAAGGAAAGAAGTTTTGGTCTGGCATGCTGCCATTTTTCCCTCTGAAGTGTATTATTTTTGATGTTGGTTTTGTCTTTTAGGTTGGTGCCAATAAGTGCCCATGCAGCATTTGACAAGGCTGCCCATTATTTCAGGATTAAGATTGTGCGTATTCCATTGACAGAACTGATGCAGGTGGATGTGAAGGTAATATCCCACTGGCATTTCCAGATGTTTCCAATACATTTTCAGTTGAATGGAGTGATGGAACCTTTGAGAGAGGCGGGTGGATGGAAGGAAGGAAATTAATACAAAGAGTTCTTCAGAAGATTCACTTTTAATCCCTTGATTTGTACACTGGGTTTTATGGATTCCTAATGACTTTCTCCTAATTTTTTTAGGCAATGAAAAAAGCCATTACCAAGAATACAGCCATGTTGGTCTGTTCAAGCCCACAATTTCCTCATGGAAGTATTGACCCCATTGAGGAAGTAGCGAAGGTAATATTTTTGCATTGATAACAAAGATACTGCAGTTCCGACCACAGTTGAGCCCAAAAGTTCCGTCGCTAAGCACAACAGTTGTCAAGTGAGTATTACAACCTTTTCTTTTGCCACAATTGTTCAGTAAATCACTATAATTGTTATGTGAATCACGCAGCTGTTAACCGAATCTGGCTTCTCCCATTGACTTTGTTTGTCAGAAACCAGCTTGGAAGGTAATAAGTGGTAATGACATGATCCCAGGACAATAGCAATAGCTCTTAGGCTTATATACCGCTTCACAGTACTTTGCAGCCCCCTCTAAGCGGTTTAGAGAGTCAGCATATTGCCCCCAACAGTCTGGGCCCTCATTTCACTCACCTCGGAAGGATGGAAGGCGAGTCAACCTTGAGCCTGGTGAAGCTCGAACTCCTTTCTGTGGATGGAATTATCCTGCAATACTGCATTCTAACAACTGGAAAGAAAGGAAGGAAGGGCACTAGCAATAGCACTTAGACTTATATACCGCTTCACAATGCTTTACAGCCCTCTAAGCGGTTTACAGAGTCTGCAGACATAAACCTTGTCTGTCTCTTTCTCTAAAAGCCTTATCAGTGTCGCTAAGATACCAGGAACCCGTTTATCAGGTGATCTCAGTAAAAGGGCAGTGGCTGGAGGTTTATTGTGCTGCTGAATGTAGCATCCATTAACTACGATGAAAGTGAAGTTTTAAGAAAAACATGCAAGGAATTCTTTGGGGAAACCCCCAGAATATTTTCTAGTACACCATAGAACAGATCAATAAAATATTCCATAGAGGCCTTCTTCAAGAATTATGAATTTTAGCTTCTTCACTAGAATTATGCATGTGCACTAGCCTAAATCAAGCAGTCTGCATATGTTCCAAATGCTTACAGCAATAGCACTTAAGACTTATTTTTCAGAGTATAAGACACACTTCCCCCCCCCCCCAAAGAGGGTGAAAAATTGGGTGTGTCTTATACACCGAATGTAGCCCTGCCCACCCACTGGCCCCCACCCTTTGGCCTCTGCCTCCCAGCAATTTGCCTACTTACAGTGAACAGCCTGTTTCAGTATCACTTTCAGCACAGCCTGATTAGCACAAGCAGCTGATTGTCGGTTCCTCCTGACCATCAGCTGTTTCAGGCTGCAGGGATTACCATTGCCTATTGCTGCCTCAGCGTGCCCCATTTTGGCCTCCACATCCCATTTTTGGCTTCTATGTGCCCCGTTTTCGGCCTCCGCATACCCCATTTTCTGCCCATTCCGATCCTCACTGGAAAAAGGGGCATGTGGAGGCTGAAAATGGCATGTGGAAGCCAAAAATGGGGCGCTCAGAGGCGGCAATAGTCTATGGCAATCCCTGCAGCCTGAAAGCTGATCAGCAGAAGGCCCGACAATCAGCTGCTTGTGCTAATCAGGCTGTGCTGAAACTGAAACGGGATGTTTACTGCAAGGAGGCAAATTGCTGGGAGGCAGAAGCAGATTTTTTTTCTTGTCCCCCCCTACCCCCCAGCTAGGTGAGTTTTATACTTTGGAGCATCGTATACTCCAAAAATTACGGTACATACTGCTTCACAGTGTCTAAGCGGTTTACAAAGTCAGCCTATTGCCCCAAATAATCTTGGTCCTCATTTTACCGACCTTGGAAGGTTGGAATGCTGAGTTAACCTTGAGCCTGGTGAGATTTGAAATGCCAAGTTTCAGGCAGCCGGCAGTCAGCAGAAGTAGCCTGTAGTACTTGCATTCTAACCACTGCACCACTGCAGCTCACATGCAGCTGTCATAAATACCTGCCAGTTGCCAAGGGCCCAAATTTTGATCATGTAACCATAGGCATGCTGCAACAGTCTCAACTCAGAAAACTGGTCATAACTCATTTTTTCCAGTGCCATTGTAAATTCGGACGGTCACTAAACAAGCGGCTGAGAGTCAAGAACTGCCTGTAGGTATTTGAACTGCTTGCTGGGTACTCGGGCATCACTGTTTCGTGGCTTTTGTGCCCAGCCATGTTAATTGTGCTGTGACTTGGGGTTTTACTGTGGAAAGAGGGGGACATAACTACGGCAGAATATCAGCAAATAGCCCAAGCATGTAAAGATGAAGTGAGGAAAGCTAAGGCTCACAATGAAGAACAATAGGTCCCTTGCTGGGAGACAGTGGCAGGAAGGTGNGTCTGTAGATATTTTCACAGCCCTCTTTTTGACTCGTGCATTGTACAGGTCCTCAATGGAAGGCAGATTGGTAGCAACTATTTTTTTCTGCAGTTCTGATTATCTTCTGAAGTCTGTGTCTGTCTTGTTGGGTTGCAGAGCCAAATCAGACAGTTATGGAGGTACAGATGATGGACTCAATAATTCCTCTGTGGAACAGAATCAGCAGCTCTTTGGGCAGTTTGAGTTTTCTGAGTTAGCGCAGAAAGAACATTCTTTGTTGTGCTTTTTTGATGACGTTTTTGATGTTAGGTGTCTATTTTCAGTCTTGAGATATGATAGAACCTAGAAGGTCTTTACTGTTGATACTGTTGATACTGCTGATACTTTAAAAAAGATGCTAAAAAGGAAGAGTTCAAAATAATCTGACCAAGAATAATGCCGAGGAACGAAATGAAAAAGACGCAGTATTTTTCCTCCTGCCAGTGGCTCTTGGACTTACCTTTTCCCTATGCTCAATTCTATCTTTATACAAGAACTTGTCTTGGGTAATGGCTCAAGATACCTGGAGCTGTGGTCTAAAACCACAGCTTACTCTTTGTGACAAATTTCCTCTAACAAGAGTTCTGCTCCAACAAAAGTTAAGTTCTATCATCTTCAGTCATCAGTTATGTCCAGCGGGAACGATGGGAACGATAGTACCAATCATCTGAGGCTGGTATAGAGATTACAGATCAAGTTGTTTTCTTAAACCCAACAAAGCAACAAAACAGAATTCCATTGTACATAAAATGATAACTATGCCGTAGGAGGGAAATGCCTTGCATTTTTTTTCTCCTTTCAAAGAAAGACTGCCTTTATCTTTTAACAAGCACGCAATACTGTAATGATCCAACATTTTACTCCATTGTTAGGAGAAGAATGTGAGCATTGGGTTGATGAGATGCTGACTTTAGCAACATATTGTTTTCTGTCAGTATTTTCACAATGGTTGGAATTCTTCTGCTAACAGTGAGTTAGGTAACATCAAAACATACGTAGTTGTGTAAGATGATAACTTCTTAAGAATGGGAATGACATGTTATTGTCTTATTTCAACCACGCCAAAAAAGAAAAGAGAGTCAAAAAAGGGGAACAAAATAGTGTGATTTTCATCTGAGTTTCATGGGAAATAAAGCTTCCTAAAATTATTTATATAAGGAAATGGATCAATATAATTTTACTCTTTCGTGCTTACTGAATAATATTTGCAGAACTTAACTCATAACGCCTGAAATCCAAAATTCATAAGAATTTTGTAATATAAGTGACCATTCTTGGTTATGTTTTGCTTATATACTGTATATAGCTGTGATGGCAAACCTATGACACGCAAAGCCATTTCTCTGGGCACGCGAACTGTCGCCCATTGCTCTTCTGAGATCTGATGCACCAACTAGCTGGTCTTCACGTGCGTGGGAGCGCCGGAAACCAGAAGAGTAGCAGCCCAGTGCACATGCGCACGCCAGGAAGATGATCTTCTGATTTCCGGCATGCACATGCACGCCGGCCAGCTGGTCTTCTGGTTTCTGACATGTATGTGCATTGGCCAGCTGATCTTTGCTCACGCATGCATGTCGGAAACCAGAAGATCGTCTTCCTGGCGCGCGCATGCAAACCGGGTGGCTGCTCTTCTGGTTTCCATCAGGTGCCCGAAAAGGTTCACCAACACTGGTATATAATATAATTATGTAGCTGTTCCCCATAAAAGTTAGATGAGTTTTTGGTTTATATATATAATATATTCAATTTAAATCTTTATATCAATAATTAACTAGCATTAAATACAAGCAAGAAAAATAACACCGTTTTCAATAACACCACTGAAACTTACCAGAGGTAAATGATAACTAAAAGCTAGGGTTACTGACACAATATTATAAAATGTTTAAATTTTAAAATATATCTTTTAGATATACTGTAAATCTAAAGGTCTTTCTCAGAGCCAAGCATAATGTTCTGACATTTTTAATGGCAGATTTACCAAAGTTCTCAAGTATACTGTGTGAGAGCTTTTAGATTAAAATATATATTTTTTAATATTTATACTAAGAAACTGAAGCCACAAAGAAGGATGTAAAAATGGGAGATGCTTGTCCATAGTCCCAAAGAGCTGCCACCTGAAGCTACATATGGAGCAAAACCTCTTCTTGTAGGCAAACTTTTCAATAAGGTATCTTAGGACCAAAACATAGTCCTAGCATTGGAGACAAAAACTGTCCTGATCATTGTCCAAAACTGATCCTGTCTCTATCTTCTATTTTGTTGTTGAAGGGGTCGGCATAAAATTTGTGTCAGACCTGCAATCCATAAATCAGATTTTATTTTGGATGCTATTTGAAACCCTGACATTTTGCTAAACAATATTCAGCAAACTTACTGATCCGTAATTACCAAGATTTCCCCTATTGTTTTTTTTTTAATATGGGCATTATAAAAGTAAACAACAACATGCAACTTGGGGCTCCCTTTATGTTTTTGTCTGGAAGCTGCAAGGAAGTGGCCAATTGCAGAGTATGGTATATGTAGCCATGATTGTATCGCATTTTGTTGGAGTAGCTGCCACTTCAGCTACCAAGTGAGTTTCAAGCTTCTAGTTTTGTTCATACAGTGGAACCTTGGGTCACAAATGTTTCTGACCACAACCAAATCGGGTGCCGACCAAAAAATCCGCTAAATGTTTCACTCTGTTCACGGACACATCCTCGGGTGGCAATCACAGCTGCAATGGTTTTCCCTGCCGCAGCAATTTCCCCTTCTGCGTCTTTTATTTTTGTGCTCGCCTGCGCAGTCAGTGTTACTTTCGGTCACGACCAAATTGAGTGCCAACCGAAGTCCTGGAATGAATTACGGTTGTGACCAGAGATTCCGCTGTATCAGGGATTCAAATTTGATTTCTCCCAGGTGTCTCCTTCCCTCCAGCACTCCTGTCCAATTGCAGGCCTACTGCTGGCCTCAGGATTTTTCCTCTCCGAGGACCAAAAGTCAGCCCTTCCCCAAAAGAGAATCCAGAATTGTTTCAAAACACAATGCTTCACCTTGAAGTTCCTCCTGATTTCCAACTGAGCATTCAGACTGAACTTCTCTTGATCTCCAAGCCATGTGTCTGCCACCAGGATCAACAACAATTGGTCCTTTCCCAAAAGAGAATCAGGAACCATTTCTGAACATAAAATTCCACCCTGAACATCCTGCCCTCCCCCCTTTATTTTTGCAGGCAGAAGGAGCTCTCACTTTCCCCTCATGTTCCAAATATATAAATAAGTGCTGAATAATGTTTAGAATCAAGTGGTTTGACAGCCAAGAGAGTTACAAAACTCTGAGAAAGTTTTATGATTTCTTCCGGATAGATAGTAGTATTGTTGCTATTGTTAGGTCCGAAGTCGTGTCCAACCCATCGCGACTCCATGGACAACGTTCCTCCAGGCCTTCCTGTCCTCTATCATCCCCCGGAGTCCATTTAAGCTCACGCCTACTGCTTTGGTGACTCCATCCAACCACCTCATTTTCTGTCACCCCCTTCTTCTTTTGCCCTCAGTCTTTCCCAGCATTAGGCTCTTCTCCAGTGAGCCCTTCCTTCTCATCATCTCATGGTGGCCAAAGTATTTGAGTTTCATCTTCAGGATCTGTCCTTCTAAAAGTCAGGGTTGATCTCTTCTAGGACTGACCGGTTTGATCGCCTTGCATTTCAAGGGACTTGCATGAGCCTTTTCCAGCACCATAATTCAAAGGCCTCAATTCTTTGGCGCTCAGCCTTTCTTAGGGTCCAACTTTCGCAGCCATACATTGCAACTGGGAAAACCATAGCCTTGACTATATGCACTTTTGTTGGCAGGGTGTAGTTGTATTAGTAGCAGAATAATTCATATGATGTCGCAGTGCCTCAAGAATTGGAAATTTGTACCACCAGTGGGAAAAAGAAAAAAGTAAGGTTCATGGATTTTGTGTATGATGTCGAATGTAACTCAACCAGAGAAAGAGAGAGAAAAGAGACAAAAGGGAGTTTTGTTCTGTATGCCTGTTTATTCCTCTTTTTAAGGATATATGGTACCATTTCCTTTATTCAGTTTTAAGACAGACCTACTATGTATCACTCCTCTCTTTAGGTTTCTCACTGGTTTTTGATGTGCTGTGTTAAAACAACTTCCCCTGTCTGTCTTTTTCGCTTATACGTTGGATTTTCCTTTTAATCTGGGTATTAGTTGAAAGAATCAGACATCTGCTTTTGAAAAAAAAAAAACCCTGTAAGCTACTCATGAGTCAACCAACGTTGGCTGGATGCCCGTGTCCTGCAATAATCAGCAAAAAAAAAGTCTTATGAGAATGATTTATGTGCTTCCAAGTAGGTGACAAGTCATTTGGAAAACAAAAGGCTTTTAGCAGGCATTAGAAAGAGTCTTAACTCTTGTTTTATATGGAGCCTTAATTTCCTTGGCGTAATAATGTGCCTATCTTGATGCCCAGCAAAGGAGGTGGTTTAAGAAAAAAAATCAGATGCTTTAATAAAATAACTAATGGACTTTTCTTTCCTGCTTCAGTAATGACTCAAGATGAATATTCTGAGCTTTAAAATACTAAAACTTGCCCTTTGCCCATTTATAGGATTTATGCCTACACCAGATAGCTGCAATATTGTCTTGATTATGATACGTACCCATCCATCCATTTCTTCAGGAATTCAGGGAAAAATAAGAACGCTTTCTGTTCTTGTTTTTCCTCCAAATCAACAGCCCTGTGAGGCAGAATGGCCGAGGGTCTTGTTAAAACGGAGCCTCTTGAATGCTAGTCCAATTCCTTTATTATTATAATTCACTGGCTGTCAGTATTTGTCTATTGTATCAATCTAGCAACAAGAACAAAACATTGCTTAAAATGTTTGCTATTCAGTATTTATATGCATTTAAATGTAGAGGTGGCTCAGTGGCTACGATGCTGAGCTTGTCGATCAGAAAGGTCAGCAGTTCAGCGGTTCGAATCCCTAGTGCCGCGTAACAGAGCGAGCTCCGTTACTTGTCCCAGCTTCGGCCATGTAAAAATGCAAGTAGAAAAATAGGAACCACGTTTGGTGGGAAGGTAACAATGTTCCCTGTGCCTTCGGCGTTTAGTCATGCTGGCCACATGACCACAGAGACGTCTTCAGACAGTGCTGGGTCTTCAGNCAACACTGGAAGTCTTTAAGAAGATGTTGGATAGCCATTTGTCTGAAATGGTATAGAGTTTCCTGCCTAGGCAGGGGGTTGGACTAGAAGATCTCTAAGGTCCCTTCTAACTCTGCTATTATATTGTATTGTATTTCCAAAATTTCCCCCCAGCAATAGGGCACCATTTAAATCACTGAATGGATACTTGTCTGTGCTGACTTGAAGAGATAAAGTATCAATTCTGGTTGTCTTTGCATCACTATAATTGTATATGAGAAAGCATACTTCTGAAAAGAAGATTTGGATGTACACATTTGTGTGTCAAATGCCTCCCCCCCCCCTCTTATTTGTCATTTGGATTTATGATGTGTTAATGAAAGAGACTCCATCAATTATTTGAGCTTGGATTCCAGACATATCCAGGAATTGGGAATCAGACTGAACTTTTGAAGAAAGATCATAACTTCGTGATAACTACGTCCCATGTACACAATTCCAGTTGAAAGTTTTGCTAGTTCAGGCCAGATTTTTCGAAAGATCCATGGTAGTTCTGGGTCTAGATCAGCTTCACACTGCATCCTGTATTCCATATATTTGATATGGTTAAGTAGCTAATCAACCCAGTTCTAGTATAATATATTTCATATGGTGGATGTTGAGTTGAAGTAGCAATAATCAAAATTTTGCCTCTGAAAATAATAAAAATTAGGTATGAGAAAAGTGGTTTTTTCTTCTTTTCCCCAAATTTAAAATAATGGTCTGTTAATGCTGATCTGCTGGTAAATGACTTTCTTCAATGAAAGAATATTTCACTTTGGTAATTACCAGCAGGAAGAGCTATTCGCCATGGCCAAGAGTCCCAGCCATGATAATTCAAAATTTAAAGTGAAGCATTGAATAGTTTTTCTAGAGAATACCCGAATTTTCCTAATTACAGGTAATCGTTTGACTTAAGGATTCACTTAGTGACCATTCGACTGAACGAAATGACCTGTGGCCGTTTTTCACACTTACAAACGTCACCGCATCCTCTTGGTCATGTGATCAAAATTTCTGAATTTGGCAACTGGCATGTTAAGGCTGCAGTGTCCCAGGGTCATGTGATCCCGTTTTGCGACTTTTAGACAAGCAAAGACAATGGGGAAGCCAGGCCATGTCAGCCCTGAAACCATATTTGGGGAGCATCTTCAGGGCTGCCTCAGCGAAGCCGGGTAGACCTGTGGGAATGTGAGGGGGGGGAGGTAGAGATAGTGGGGGGATGTGTAGCCAAAATAATAATCTTTCGTGGGAGCCAAGGATGCTCTATCAGGTGTTTAGATTTAATTAATTTAGATTTGATTAATTTATAGGCCGCCCAATCCCGAAGGACTCTGGGCGGCTTACAACAAATACATTGAAAAATAGAAAAGTTAAAACAAAGAGACATAGATTAAAAAACCCACAACATACACCCAGTCTAATCTGGGCTGGACCTCAATCATGAGATCAACAGCCCGGGGCCTGCCGGAATAACCAGGTCTTAATAGCCTTAATAGGTGTTGGAAGAACGTGGACCAAAGCCAGCCGGAGTTGGGACTACGTCCTGATTGGACCATGCGATAGACATGTGACCTGGAGGGCAAGAACTTTGGGGTTATTACTTGGAACCCTGACACTAACACGACTTAACAGCCGTGTTGCTAACTTAACAACTGCCGTGATTCACTTAACAACTGGGGCAAGAAAAGTTGCTAAATGGGTCAAAAGTCACTGAATTGTCTCACTTGGCAGCATAAATTTTGGGCTCAGTTGTGGTCGAATGCCATGGACTCTCTGCAAGGAATATGTTTATCAAGCTCCAAGCTCTACAACAGTGATGGTTAACCTTTTTGTCGCCGCATGCGCGTTCATGCGTGCCCAAAAGTGTGTTTGCGCGCCTGCACCCATAATGCAATGCATGCATTACACCCCTGTGTGCCCCACCCCTTGTGCATGCATGTATGACACCACTGCATGTACCCCGCCTCCTTGCCCCCCCCCCATTTGGGGCCCGGAACCCCTCCTGCACCAATGTGAAAGTCAAAATCGAGCGGTTGAGGCCCCAAAATGCAATGCTAGTGCCTCCTGCGCATATTCCCCGCTCCCCATACATGTATGTTTGTGTCCCCCACATGCGCCCCCCCTGCATGCACAGCAGAGCCCCGAAGACCAGCTGGATGGCTGGGGGCGCGTGCATATGCATGGTGAAGCTTGGCTGGGGCAATGGCTGGCGTGCCCGCAGAGAGGGCTCTGTGTGCCACCTGTGCCATAGGTTCGCCATCAAGGCTCTACTAGTTGTTCACTTCTGTGACCCAAGAAGAAAATGACTAAATTTTTCTCCTGTTTTGATGCAGCTTGCCCTGAAATATGATATTCCCTTGCATGTGGATGCCTGCCTGGGAGGCTTCCTCATTGTCTTCATGGAGAAGGCCGGCTTTCCTTTACCGCAGCGTTTTGATTTCCGAGTGAAAGGGATCACCAGCATTTCTGCAGATACGCATAAGGTGAGCCAAGGAAGATTTGTATGAGTTTCTGATAGGAGTTGTTTTGAAACTGCGCTAAGCTGGATCATGCATATTTCCTCTAAATTGTTTCCAAATCAGCATCATTAAAAAAAATTGCTAGTTAGTTAGTTTACTTTATTGTCACTGCACCTCGTACAACAGAATTAAATGCCATATTCATTGTACAGAGAATGTTTTAACTTAGTAACTCTTGTAATTCCTCCTCCCCCCCAATTTTTATTGATTTTTTTTATTAATTACATTTCTTAGCACTTAATAAATATCGTGTTGTCTGGTGTATCTAATTTGCTTAACAGTTCTGATTATATTCCTAATCTCCACCCTTTTTTTCCAACCACTAGTAAAATAGATTCACTTTTTGATAGCATTCTGTGTCTTCTTTCTGCTTAATTTTCAATGTCAATCTACCGTGTTTCCCCCCAAAATAAGACAGGGTCTTATTTTCTTTTGAACCCCGAAATAAACACTTAGCCTTATTTTTGGGGAGGTCTTATTATTTTTGAGGTGCAGGAGACAGCGAACGTGGTCACCTCATGGCTGCTGCGGTGTTGCAATTTTTTCGGGAAGGGCTTATTTTCAGGGAAGGGCTTATTTTAGCACATGCACTCAAATGCCCGATTGGGCTTATTATCCAGGGAGGTCTTATTTTCAGGAAAACAGGGTATCCATTTCTGCACAGTCTAGTATCTTCTTAATTATCTCTTCATCTCATGGTGTTTCTTCATTTTTCCAATATTGTGCGAATATAATATCATTCAAGACAAAGGCCTTGAACCTGTCAACAGTGATTTTGGAGGGGGATTATTTTGCAACCTGAATATTGCCCCTTTCTTTGCAGTACGGCTACGCGCCAAAGGGCTCCTCAGTGATAATGTACAGCGATATGAAATATCGGCATCACCAGTTCTTCATTGCCCCTGATTGGCAAGGAGGAATTTATCCTTCGCCCACGATTGCTGGTTCCAGACCTGGATGCCTTATTGCAGCTTGCTGGGCAACCATGGTGCACCTAGGAGAACAAGGTTATGTGGAAGCCACCAAGAAGATCATCTCAACTACAAGGTTCATCGTATCTGAGTACGTACACGATTTCCATTGATTCTCTATATTTTATGCTTCCCTTCCTTCTCCCTGGGTGCCCATTTCAACCACTCTTTGGCTGCTCTACAGCTTGTACTATTTGCAAGCATTAAATAGGAGTGCGTTCTTAGCTATTAGCGTATTAGGATGATATGCATGATTTAAAATTATGCAGGGAAAATGGTAACATTAAGTGGACTTCATTGGGGGGGGGGGAGAGGGAACATTAGTGAAAAACCAGTCCTTTTTTTGAGCACAGAGAACGATGACTCTTAGTTGGACACGGTGGCTCAGTGGCTAAGACGCTGAGCTTGTCGATCAGAAAGTTCAGCAGTTTGGCGGTTCAAATACCTAGTGCCGTGTAATGGAGTGAGCTCCCGTTACTTGTCCCAGCTTCTGCCAACCTAGCAGTTCGAAAGCACATAAAAATGCAAGTGGAAAAATAGGGATCACTGTTGGTGGGAAGGTAACAGTGTTCCATGAGCCTTCGGCATTTAGTCAAGCCAGCCACATGACCACGGAGACGTCTTTAGACAGTGCTGGGTCTTCGACTTTGAAATGGAGATGAGCACCGCCCCCTAGAGTCGGGAATGATTAGCACATAGTCCGAGGGGAACCTTTACCTTTAAAGATGACTCTCTGTTGGTGATTGGCAGAAAGAAGAGGCTGAAATAGTAGAAATTAGAAATGGGCAGTTCAGAAGACTTTCATGCTTCTTTCTTCTATCTCCTTTTTTCAAGACATCTTTCTTATTCTGATGAGATTTGGAATATCTCTCCACATAGTTCCATGAAATAATATTGTAATTAAACATGGAATTTTGTTTTAGCCAAATGTCAACTAACAATGCCTGCTAAGGATTATATGATACATTTGGACAGGACCATGCAGCCTGAGGTGGCGCAGTGGTTAAATGCAGCACTGCAGGCTACTTCAGCTGACTGCAGTTCAGCAGTTCGGCTTTCAAATCTCATCAGGCTCAAGGTTGACTCAGCCTTCCATCCTTCCGAGGTGGGTGAAATGAGGACCCAGACTGTGGGGGCGATATGCTGACTCTGTAAACCGCTTA